AATAAATACTCAATATTAAAGTCAGATTCTCTGACGAAGAAACAATGGCTGATTACGATATAGAACAATACGGAAATAGCCTGATTGTTGATGCTTTTACGTCAATCATTAGTAAATAATAACAAACCATTGCAGCTCTCACAGAGATCACAGACACACAAAACCTATGCCTTAAGAATTTCACTGAAACAGTCAACACCTTAGTTAACACTTGCAATACATTCTGTGCAGTTCTCATTCATAATAACTTACTTCAAATTAACAAAACACCAAAATTATATATCCTTAACACTAATTATGATATGGAAGTAGAAAAGGCTCTGAAGGGCCTTTTCCAATTTTAAAAATATATTTTTATGATTCCTGTCCCTACAGATATTAACAATAAATTCCTCTTATCAAATGATAACTCCAATACAACCTCCATTAATATGCTAAAACTTTCCTTCACAACCCATAATATTCGATCTTTCACTAACATCGCCAAACAACACCACCTTTTATCATTATATTCTTCATATAATTTAGATATCATTGGTCTTCAAGAAACTAACTTTAAACCCCAACATGAAAAATTTTTAATCCATCACATCCTTCTTTTATATTATTATTTAGTTTAACCTCAAAATAACATATCGCATTCAGTGTGAGAATAATACTTAACAAAAAGATTGCTTATCATGTTTACAAATATGACACCAAACTCGATTGAGTTATTCATGTTGATTTACAATTCGCAAATAAACAAAAACTTCATATTATAAATTACTACTTACCACTAGCTGATCTTAAAATGAGAAATGAAATCTAACTGGTTCATAACAAATGGATCAAAGAAGCCATTATCAATAATTTTCACTTGATCATCCTGAAAAACTTTAATACTGATATGGATAGAATACACAATCTCACAAATAGTCTAAAACTCTTCGATGATTTTTATAGACTGGCACTTTTTGATGCTTTTATAATCAAACACGATTGAAATAGAATTGACTTTCCCACTTATTTTTTGAGCTAAGTCTCTTCTAGAATAGATTACATTTAGACCTCTGCTGAAATTTCCCTTAACATTTCAAATTGTCATACGGTTGCATCTAAAATGAATATATCAGATCATTATGTAGCCATCGCTATAATTATGAATTTCTTAGACATCAAATTTAACAAACGCAAAATACCCAGAAAAATTAGTTTCAATTTCGATAAAATGAACAAGGACCTATAGAGCAAATTCGAAAATAAACTCAATGCACTATTAAATAGTAGTCCAACTAAAACAATTAATCAGGAGAAGTATTAGACACACTTTTTGCTCAATAAACACTGGGATCTCTTTCAAGATCTTTTGATTAAAGCGGCTGAAAATTGCATACCACTCAGAAAATCGCCAAGACAATTCAAGTATTCAAGACCATCTGACCTTAAAAAATTATATTTACATCTAAAAACCTTACACAAATTTAAAAAGTTACTTCTCAAAGTCAAACAAGGTGAATCATTTCCTGTAAATTGGATACAAATATATGATGATTTTTGCAATATTGTTAACTCACTCGCATTTACCACTGCGTACCTTCACTCAGATTATCCATTTAATTTTGTCGATCTCCTTCTCTTAGACACAGTTCTTTTACTCAAAGTTCTCTTATGTAAGATCAAACTTCACGAGAATGAACAAAAACTTGCCTTTATATAGAAACATTTAAATCAGCGCTTAGATGCATATGCTAACAATCCCAAAAATATATTTGATTCAGCATTAAACTGTATAAGGAAGACAATCGTATTAAACAGAAGTTTGTCAAGAAATGCTCAAGAACTTCTCACAGATGAACACTTAGTTAAACAAACTGTTAATAACCATTTCCAAAGAGTGGTAGGTATCACACATAAACTGAAAAGCATCCCTAATAAATTGCTCCCTTTATACAGTCTACTAGAAGATATTGATTCTGGTATATACAATAATCTAATGTTACCACTCTCAGCTGAAGAATGATATTCTATCATTAATTTTCTCACTGACAGCAGAGCATCTGGCCTATCTAAGATCTCGAATGAAATGCTTAAACACCTAGACTCCTTAGCTAAAAAGATTTTTTGGTATATAATATGTGAATTTTTGTTGATTACAACACTTCCATATCGATAGAATTTGGCATATGTTTATCCGATTTGAAACCTAAACCCTAGAAATTTGACCTAAATAATATGAAACTGATCACCTTACTGGAATGCCTAAGAAAAGCCCTTATAAAACTTATTAATACGCGACTCTCAACTGTTTTTGTCTAACACAACATCCTTAAAGGATATAATTTCGCAGAACTTCCTTTCTGCTTCACCTTTGAACTCTTGCACATCTTTGACAATATAAAAAATGACGCACTTTCTAACAAAAAGAATTGTGAGTCCTTTTACAAAATATGTCAAAAACTTACGACTGTGTTAATATTTTTATAATGGTTAGAGTGCTAGAATGCTTAAAGCTTCCTAAAGAATTTATTTTCTTTATACTAAATATGTTTATGCATAAGAAAAACTAAGTTTTTACTTCTTATGGAATCACAGATATATATAAAGTTTTCTCAGGTATTGATCAAGATGAAATTATATTACCACTTCTATGATGTATTTATTATGATCCTCTTATGTAAGTGCAAAACTCTGACCTTGGCTACACCATGTCAGCAAAATGGAAATCTAATATACGCTTCAATTTCTTTGAAGAATGATCATGTAAAATATTAGTATTAGCATATATGAACGATACTCTATAAATCACTAAATTTAAACAACAACTCAACAGAATTATAGATATCGTCAACAGTTTTTATGACTTAAACAGCATTAAAGTGAATTGATCAAAATCAGATCTGTTGACTAACACAAATACAATCCAAACTATCCAAATATATGTTAATAGCTCCACATATACTATTACTGCTACTAGTTCTAAAGATTCTATTAAATACTTAAGAATTTGGATCTCGCTCAAATATAATAAGATGTTTATCATCAAATAAGCTGTCCAAGACATAAAGTTCACAGTGGTCACTTTGTTTACCAAAAAACTGACAGATAAATAACTTATATATATGTTCAACATTTTTGTAATACCTCATATTGAGTACTGCACACAACTGACTCACTTATTTGAAATACTTGCAGATCGTATTATACGACCCTTCAGAGATTTGCTAAAGAAAAAACTCTATCTATCATGAGATATACCCTCTTGTCTCCTTCACTCAAAACTTTTTATAAAGTAACACACCTCTACTATAGGCACATGCAAGCACTCAGCAATGTTTTACTGATGTCTCTAAATGATATTGATCTATTAGGTTTATCCACTGATATATGGCCACTACAACTGCAAGTTAAGGAATAGTTATCTGCCTTACCGCTAGTTAAATAGCCTTACAAAAACCCAAAGTATTTCAATAACTGGATTTCAGCACTTTTATGTGACCTCAAATGCTTTAACATTAACTTATTCCTACCAAAATAATTTACTCATAGACTACAAGGTGGATCCATTACCATTCAGTCAATTATTTCACAAAACTACAGGAAATCAGCCCCTTCTTGTCCAAATATTTCTTAATATTTGTAAAACAATTAGTTAGCTGAGATGGAAGGTCATTATATACTGCCAAAGATATGAGATACCTGTCATCAATCCCTAGAAAAGGATCATTTCCAAAATAATACCTCAAGGCTAAGAGCACACTCAATATTGACAAGCTTAACTCCTTGCCTGCAACTACAACATACTGACAAAGTGCCACTTATAGATACTTGACACTACCCTTACAAGACAAAATAATAGTCTGCTCATTTGTTACATATTGAAACTGCAATGCTAATATAATAATAATAGGTCATATTTTAAAGATAGCAGGCAGTTTTGCTAATGTTATTTATTATACGCATACCCATTCCACTGAGATAATTCTGCATTAATGTGATGGGTGTTCACTTAACAGGCCCACATTATTTAAGAGTAACTCTTCTGATCTTAAGAAATATAATTGCATAATGACACGTCTCTTGACCTTTGTGTGAAAATAGTACTCAAGAATACCTAAAAACAATATATCAGCATATGGTCATCAATACTTATGAAGGATATTGCATCCCACATTTTTAACTGTTCTTATAATAGATATCTTAATAATTTTTAGTAAAAAAAATTTATAAGTATAAGAAGGAATTTGTTATATTAATTATCATATTTGTATATTTAGAGGTGTGTCATCAAGAAGTATTATACAGGACTATGTGCCATTTTATTTTTATTTTTATTTTAACTATTATTCAATTATAGATATATGTATAATGAATTTGAATCAGGAATCAAAAGATGGACAGATAGAAAGTAAGTCAAAGATCATGTATTTTTTCATTAGCAAAATATCTATAAAGTTTCTTAATAAATGCTAACCAATTTAAATCAAGTTTTGCACATAAAATTTTCATTATATTTTTTATTAAATACCATTAATATAAATATTGTTTTATATCAATTAGTTATAAAATTTTGTGTAAGCATTTGCAATTGTATAATTATTATTAGTAAGAATAACTAATAGCGCATGTTGATTAACCATTTCAAGAAATTTACTAAATATACATATAAAGTTATCTTCAGTTTCATCAATTATTAATGCACTAGCAAAACATATACTATGTTTATAATTATTTTCTCCTATAAAAATGTTAAATGGCATTTGAAACTGATTGGTTTTATAAGTATTATCAAATATCACTACATTATTAAATCTATTATAATTTATACACTACTTAGAAAACACCTATATTACACGCTCTAATCTTTTTGTATCATTATTAATATCAGTATAATAATAAAAATCTTCATTATTATATTTAACCTGCTTTAATATTTCTATAAATTCTTCAGCATTAAACTTTTTTTTTTCAAATCCAGAATCTTCTAATTGATAAATAAAGTTATAAATATTATTATATACTCATGTAATATAATCATCAAATTCTTCTTTTAAAATAATATGAATAGTAAGAACATCTATACTAGTATGATATAATAATTTGATTCGCTGTTTAACATTATCAGGAATACTTCATTCATTATACATGAAAAATCAATGATTTTCATCAACCATTTGATGATTATATATATAATTCATATTAATAATATACTATAATCTATTTAAATTATCTAAAAAATACGAATATAAAAGAGTAACCATAAGGCGATACAAAGTAATAAAATTGGTTTACATATCTAAAGTTAACTTTGTATGACCCGGCCATCCAGATTTTTGCTTTTAAAAGAAAAAAATTTTTTAAATATTTTTATTGTTTTATAACCTGACTACCCAGTTAAAATTTTATATTTTTTATTCTGCACATTTATATATTAGACTATTACATGTATTATCAAAAATAAAAAGTTAAATCAAATTTAATAAAAAGAAAAAAGTAAAGTTGTTAATTCAATATTTTCTTATTAATGAAATGATTATACAATTATAATTATCTTGTTTGTTGTCTTAAATGATATTATCTTTTAGATGATGTTCGAATGGTTTGATCTAACCTATTCTATTCAATAATATTATCACAATAAACCAATTCTATTTATTTAAATGACTTCAGTTAACTAAATTCTGCATGAATTTATACTTTTAAAGAATTAAAGATCGTTAGCATTCCTTTCCTAACCATGCTTCTAAATGATTTCCTTTTCTGACTGCATCCCTAAAAACGACTTTCCCTTTCCCTTTCCTAACTGCGTTCCTAAAAGTGACTTTCCCTTTTCTAACTGTGCCCCTAAAAATAACTTTCCTTTCCTGACTGCGCTTCTAAAAGAGATTAAAATCACGTAACAAATTTGATTATATAAATTCAAAAGAGGTACAAACACGTTAAAACAATCTTTTCTTTAAGCTTTCAATAAATCTTTTATTGTAATTCAGCAAAAAATGCCATTCGCAAATATTCACATCACTAAAGGGTCAAAAAATCTTCATGGATGGTATATCTATCCTATTCCTTATGAAATAACAACCAAGGATTTTTTTGAAAAACTTATAACTAGAGAACTGTCTTCTGAGTCTAATATTTTTATAACAAATTCTGAGATCATAGATTGTGTTAAAATAAGCAAGACACCAACTGCAATTACAACTCAAGTCATCCTTAATTGTGGTATTATGGAATTTACGACAAATATAGGAAAAAATATACATTATTGACTCAAAACTAATGACGTAATTCCTAATTTAGTACCACAGTGAAACAGCCTTATGATCCTAATGCAAAATACATGCCAAACCCAATTGCACTTGCCAACCTTTTTACAATCAGAAAAGTCAAATCGTAAGCAAAAACTGCGTAATGACCTAGTTGATTGGATTCAGCGTCATAGTGGAAGATGGTCCACTCAATCATATACAAACACACAAGGAAACAATTTATAATTAGCTTGACTGAAACGATTTGGTATATTGATATGCGTAATCACTAGAAATTCAAAAGCAGAATTATTACATACCTAAACTTTTCCTTGAGTTTTTTGACTGTGCAAACCCAGAATTATACAAGCAATCGTGAAAATCCTTTGATGCAAATGAACTAAATCTATATTATCAAACTCTTATTCCACATGCTACATCATCATGGATGTTGATGACAAATTTTAATTAGCTCCGTAATGCATTTGACAATTTCATCATTGCCATTTCAAATTATGTAGGATTTCTGCAACGTTAACGTAATGTTGCTGCTGTGAATCATACATCAGAAACTCCTATACGAATTGTTGACCAAGTCACAACAATTAAAATTTATAACCAAAACATTTGGATCACGCCTGCTGATAAGCCAAATACTATTATCTTGAATACTTGTTCGCTGATTTATCGTCATGGAAACCAGTTGATATTGAAGAATACCTATCAACTAATCCTGTGTGAGTAGCAGAAATAATATTGTTAAGACTGTTAGTGTAGAAATCTAACTAACAAACAATTTATTATAGACAAAGAATGCGTTATATTCAGGGCTTATCTCATGCATTTCCTTTTAAGATTGAAGAATATCGATTTAATTCTGAAAATAATTCTTTTAACACAATCTCGATCTGGAAAATCGACGAACAAGCTAATGAAATATTAGTGTTGCAAAAGAATATGCGGATTGTAAATAAATTGCAAGCTGATGCATCTCGTTATCATATACAAGCAATACAAATAAATTATTTACATACATGTGATCTGCTTCTTCTAAAAGCTAAGCCATCAGCACTTCAAACAATCTACTGAATGTTAACGGGTGACATCTCTGCAGCTGAAACTAAAAATGAAGCAAAAGTTGATGAACGTATTAGACTCATTCTGAAACTTGGAGATTCAGATATTACCATCAATTTACGTGAATACAGTAATGGAAGAATAAATAAATATGATATCTTCTGGAGAATTGCAGATTAATTTCTTACAGGAAAAGCAGCAGATGCTATAATTGCTGTGGACAAACGCAGGTATGATACAATCGTACATCTTACGACCGCAATCTCAGTAAATAATTTTCTACATCAGATTAAGCGTGAGTATCCACCTGAAATACCAATTCCTAGTGTACAATGGTTATGATTACAATTTTGGCCGAAAAATCCAACAAGACTTAGTAGTTTACAATTTACCAATCACTTACCTCTAAAGTTCATGATTCAAACACGTCAGCTATGAGCTTACCATCCAGATGTTCATTACGCATCAGCATTATTTCGCTATGAAAAAGAATTTGCTGTAAAGTTTAGTGAAATCACAAATTTGGTCTTTTTAGATGACAAACATCATTGTAAGGTTAGTGAATCTGGATTTTCAGTTGTTGCAGTAGAGAGAGAAAAAAAGTAGTGGTCAGTAAGAATACTACATTTACAGTTGCAGATCATGATTTTACTAAAACGGGAATCATACTGAATGTAACAATAATATATAACATACCTAAATCAATTAATAGCGATTTCTATTTAGGAAAAGTATACATTAGGTTAAAAGATTCAATCTTTCAACCTTCTTTACCTATTTACCATGCTACAGAGCTGTATAACATACTTCTTAAAGAAGAACTTGTTGATAAACCTGTGTTGTATCTCTATACGGATGGTAGACCAGATCATTGATGCATATATGCTCATATTCAATTATCATATATTTGTCTTTTTCTTGCGTTAGACCTTGATTATTTTATTGCTGTTTGAATTCCATCACAACATTCATGGAAAAACCCTGTTGAACATATTATGTCAATTCTGAACCTAGGGTTACAAAGTGTTGATTTGATGCGAACTAAAATGAATGATCAGTCAAAAAAATTAATGAGCAAATGTGATACAATGAATGAAATCCACAAAATTGCTAAGGAAAATTTTACCTTAAAGGGAGACCTAATTGCAAGTCTCTAAGCTCCAATTGGTTTACTTTGTGATGTGTTTAATTGCCAGTCTCTTAAAGATGATCCCTTCAAAACATTTACTGCAGCATCAGAAATGGAAATAGAGAGATTCTGGGAAACGATTTAGCTTGTGAATGATAGTATTACCTATAAAGATCACACTGCAGAACAAATAAAATGGAGGGTAAGTAGAATACTAATTGAGTTATTCAAAGAAGATCTTGACCACTTGATTAACTTATCTTTGTTTAAAGTTACGTCTACAAGAGTTCATAGAACACTGTTGCACGTCAAGGCATTACTTCTTTTTAATAAAAAAATGTGGTGAATCAGCTTGTACTATTTGTCATCCTCCTCGTTGTTTGTCAGAAGATTTTGAACAACTACATTGTCTTCCAGATCCAGTACCTGGAGAAGACTTGCATTACAAGTCATTTGAAGAATTATATGATAAACAAACAACAGAAGATCATAGACCTTCGCTTAAGAATACTAAGATAAAAACAAAGGGCAAAATGAAAACTACAAAAGTGAAACATACCATGCTATTTTGCCCTTCTGCTGCACGTGCAAAGAATGTTAGTATTACTATAAATTGCATTAAATGTGAGAAGCTGTATCTTTTATTCAGCGCAAAGAAACTTTCTGAAAAGGACAAAATGATGTTGCAAGAATTCTTAGATACAATTTTATACACCTATGGTATATTTTTTCATAATACTTGTGATTTTGCAATGACCATACCACGAAAAAAATCAGACATACAAGATGATATAGAGAATGAGATAGATGAAAAGGATGACTGTAACAAAAATAAACATGAACGTGAAGATTCAGATTCAGATTCAGATGAAGAGTCTGATAATGCGGAAGAAAGTCTGATAATGCAGAGAAAGAATCTGATAATATGAAGAATTCTATTTATGAACTTTTTTCAAAAGTTTATATTAATGACTCGTGGTCGTGTTTATCCCAAGTTGAGAGACCTTATTACTCAACTAAAATCTACCCAGACGTTTGCATTAAATGCGAAAGTATAGATGTCAATAGATTAATAAAAGATAAAGACTCACGTTGTAACAATTGTGACAAAAGTACTGCTGTCTCAAAAAAGTGTTTAAAGTGGAAGCAAGGTAGTAAGTAAAGAAAAAATGTACAAAAACTTAGCTTTCTTGAATTTCTTTTTAAGATTTTATGTTAATTATTTTTGAATCTAATA